AGACCGAAAGGCATGACGACGAACTCGTAATGGCCGTAACGAGTCCTGAAAGCAGTCTTAGCGATGTCTGATTCCTTAATCTTCAGCTGGTGGTAGCCTGATCGTAAATCAATCTTTGAAAATACATAGGCTCCCCTCAGCTGATCAAATAAGTCGTCGATCCTGGGAAGCGGATACTTATTCTTGATCGTCAACCGGTTAAGATCCTGGTAGTCGATACACATGCGCATGGATCCGTCCTTCTTCTTAACAAAGAGAACGGGTGCTCCCCAAGGTGACACACTCGGTCGGATGAAACCGACTCGTAACAGCTCCTGAATCTGCGCCTTAAGCTCCTGCAACTCCTTAGGCGCCATACGGTACGAGGCTTTGGATATCGGACCGGCCACTGGAATAAGGTCTACAGAGAACTCCACCTGCCGATTAGGCGGTCCTCCTGGAAGCTCGTTTGGGAATACATCCACAAACTCTCGAACGACTGGAACATCGTGAGGTGAACGCGCTTTCTGGGAATCATCAACAAGGCTCACCAGATAACCCTGGTAGTTGCCTCGACGCAGCAACTTAGTGGCTTTCGCCATTGAAACAACATGAGGCAAAGAACGGTTTCTGGAGCTGAAGAAAGTAATGGACTCGTCTCTCGGAAGATAAAGAGTAATCTCCCGATCGTGACATTTGATATCCGCATGATAAAAGGATAGCCAATCCATTCCGAGAATAAGGTCGAAGTCCTTCATCTCGAGAACAAATGCGTCGGTTGACAAAACTCGGCCACTGATGGAAAGGCTAAGATCTGAAGCTTTAGCTGAAGTCACTATCTTTCTTCCCGAGGCCAAACTCACCTCGAGAGGATCGATAGCGGTAGTAGCGCGAACTCCGATGGCATCAAGACATCGTCGTGAAATGAAAGTATGCGTCGCTCCGGTATCAAATAAAGCAAACACAGGAACATTATTAAGAATAACCATTCCTGACATGGTACCTGGCTGCTGCTCGGCCTCCGCCTGATCGATGGCGTAAACTCTGGCCTGCTGTCTGCCCCTCTGCTGCTGCTGAGGCTGTCTCTGTGCCTGCTGACGGGGCTGCTGCTGCTGCGGTGGCTGCTGAGGCTGCTGCGCCTTCTTCGGACAACGGTTCGCGAAGTGTCCGGCCTCGTGACAGTAGTAGCACACATCCTGACCAAAGCGAAACTCGCCTCGGTGATGTCGTCCACATGTCGGGCACTGTGGAACCTGTTGTAGCCTCCGTCGAGCCCTCTGATCTGTCTGGGCACCCTTATCCTTCCTCTTGTTGTTCTTGGGCGGCTGGGTAGATGGTAAAGCTGGCACCGGTGGAACTGAAGACAACTGACCACGAACGGACTCCCTCCTAAGGCTAGCATCCACCTCCTGAGCAATGGAGACTGCACGTGCATATG